TAGGGTTTTTCAATGGCTGATTCTGTGGAAGTAGATCACCAGCCCTTTCTTCACAAGTGCCTCTGGGTTCAAGTCCTCTGGGTGGACTTGAACCTTCAACCTTTCAGTTTGTAGCTAAGCAGTTACTGCATCACTTAGGGACTCCTCATTAAGACCATAATTATTATAATGTATGATTATGATGAATAATAATGCTCCCAAAACCACGAAGTGCAAACTGACAGAACTAAATGCACAATTTTATAATTGGAGATTTAAACATCCCAATTTTAACAAATGACTGAATAGCGAGACCAAAAAAAAAAAGAAATTAAAGACTAGAAGATATGAATAGCACTGTCCACCTTCTTGACCTAAATGACATATGTAGAACACACACAACTTCAGAATGCACATTCTTTTCAAATATACATGGAATGTTGACCACAATAGACTATATGCTGGTCCTTAAAACAAGATTCAATAAATTCAAGAGATCTGAAATCATACAGAGAATATTCTCTACTACAATAAATTAGAAATCAATAAGGTCAGACAGTGAAGAAACCCTCAAGTACTTGGAAATTAATTTCCACATTTGTGTATGGACAATGGACATAATCCATGGATCAAATTAAATTTAAAAGGACAAAAATGAGCAAATGTACAGTGTAAGTTTTACCAGTGGTAACCAGGGGCGGGAAGGAGAAGGCAAGAGGGGATGACTGCTTATGGAGCACTGTGTTTCTGTTTATGGTGATGGAAAATTTGCAATGACTAAGGTCAGAGATTGCACAGCTGATTAATGTAATTGATATAAGCTGTACACCTGTGAAAAGTTGAATTGGTAAATGCTGTGTGACAGATATACCCAACAAGAACAACAACAAAAGAGCAGCTGCTGAGGCTGCTTCCAAAAACCAAACTCACTGCCACCAGTCAATTCCGACTCACAGTGACCCCCCACTGGGTTTCCAAGGTTGTAAATCTTTTTGGATACAGATTGCCTTATCTTTTTTCCAAAGAGTGGGTTTTGAACCACTGACCTTTGGTTAGCAGCCAAACACTTTAACCACTGCACCACCAGAGCTCCTTCTGAGGCTGCTTATGCACAACCAAACACCTCATGGGATTGGAAGTCTACGGTTAGGGTTTTATGAGACATGCCAATTAAATGGCCTAATACCACACTTAGCGCTTCTGTTCCACTTCCTAGTTTGTGAAAGAAAAAAATATTGAAGTAATAAATCACCTTTAAGACAGGATTTTTCCAATTATAAATTTAAATTAAATTTCTTCCAATGATAAATTTTGCATCTTTCTTATAGTACTAGCGAGATGCTGTCTTGGATAGTCTCTGTGGGTGAAATTATTTTTCTCTCTCTACATTTGTTCTCTACATGATGTAACTAGGCAGAAATGAAACTCTTTCTAAGGAATCATCCTGATAAAACTGCATAAAATTTAACACAAATATCACTGAAGGATATCATGCTTGGTGAAGCTTAGGGTCGGCAAAAAAGGGAAGACCTTTAACAAGATGGACTGACACAGTAGCTACAGCAACGGGTTCAGGTATAGCAAAGATTGTAAGGATGGCACACAACCGCGCAGTGTTTCATTCTGTTGTACATGGGGTCACTATGAGACAGAGCCAACTCGATGGCACCTAACAACAACAACAACAACACTAAAGGTGAAAATACCTACAACAGCCACAATGATGGACTGGAACATGCTAGTGATTCTAAGGATGACAAAATACCAAGCAACAAACAGTTCATTCTGTTGCACATAGGGTTACCATTAAGTAATATGGCCTCAGTTCTTGGTTCTTTAGAGGTAACTCTAAAACCCTGTGTGGTAGTTGTGTGTCAACTTGGCTGGGCTTGGTTTTGAGTGGCTGTGCAGCTGTATACGGTATTCCCCATGATGAGACTGGTAATCAACTCCATGGTGGAATCTACTGGAGCAGCTGAACAGCTGCCTTAGGGATGTGGCCTGCTTCCAGCATATAATAAGCAACTTTGAGAAACGTCTCTGGAGCTTTTTGGCCCATTTGGACCCCACATGTAGCCAAGTCTTTATTTAGCCTGCCATGTTGTCTGCCATTCTTAGAGACTGTTCTTAGACTTCAACCAGTGGCCTGCCATGTTGTTTGATAATCTTGGGGCTGTATCATTTTATTTGTCGACTTTGGGTTTGTCAATCTCAGAAGCTAGTAGCTGCCTGAGTTAAGAGAAGCCTCCAGCTTCAGTGGGCCAGGGATAAGAGGCAGAGCTGAAGCCCAAGACTGAGGAGCTTTCACCCAGCTCCTAGAGCTGGCACTCTGAACTTGGACTTAAAGCCTCCTAAACTGTAAGAGGGGAAGAGCTCTGGTAGCATAGTGCCTAAGGCACTTGACTGCTAACCAGAAGACTGGTGATTCAAACCCACCAGGCACTCCTCAGAAGGAAGGTTGGGCAATCTACTTCCATAGTGATACTGCCTCGGAAACCCAAGGAGGGGTCCCTATGAGTCCGGTCTGACTCAACAGCACATAGCAACAACAAACTGTAAGAGAATAAATCCCTATTTGTTATGACCATCTATTTGTGGTATTTCTGTTAGAGTGGCATTAGAGAACCAAAACACCTTGGAATTTAAGTGTCTTCAGTAAGGACTCCAGATTACACCTAATTAACAGGTTAGGTCAGGTGATGAGGTGACCCGTCATATACACCTCATGATCACTCTGTGATATCTGCTGACTTTGCATTATTTAATAAGAACCCTGCCCCCTGCTGCCCAATAAAAGCTCTGAAGAGTGAAACTCCATGGGCTTCCAGAGACATCCACGCACCTGAGAGGGTAGCCCATCCCTTTTAGCGACACGGAAGCTCCATGTTGGGAACCCCTTTGGACCTCACCTATATGTCTCTTCACTTGTATCCTTTTTCCCCCACAATAAAGCTGTGATTGTAAGTACAGCACTTTTTGTGAGTTCTGTGAGTCATTCTAGAGAATTATCGAACCCAAAGGAGTTGTGGGAGCCAGCAGGTCAGAAGTTAGAGAGCCCAGAGGGGACACCCAAGCTTGTAGCTGGCATCTGTCTATTTGGCAGTCTGAAGAATGAAGTCTTTTTACACCATAAGCTTTGACCTAGCTCCATGTGGCTGGGGTCAAGAAAGAAGTGCTGTATGGGAGGCTGGTGTCAGAACTGAACTGAGACACAGAAAAGTGGGGATTTTAAATTCATGCTGATTGTCTTCTTTGTAATAGGTTTCAGCAGAGATTTTGGACTATGACAAACTAGGAAGAAAGGCCTGATGATCTATTTTGAAAATTACTCAATAACAACACTATGGATCACAAGGATCAACTGCTGAAGGAGGCCACCTTTTACGGTGAAGCAGAAGGCCAGTGAGGGGAGACCCTCAGTGAAGTGGATCAACACCAGAGACACAATGATGGATTCAAACATGCTGTGACTGTAAGGATCACAAAGCACTGGCCACAGACATTTCATTCTGTGTATGTAAGGTCACAAAGAGTTGGTGTCAATCCATGGCAGTTACCTATGTCTGTATCTGGTTGCTGTTAGAGGAATGGATTATGGGACCAGACAGAACAGGAAGCCCAGTTAGGTGGCTAGTACCGCTGCCCAGGTGAGATGTGGATAGTTTTACAGACTGAGGAGAGGAAAAGGGTAAATGGAGAAAGGACTTGGGGGTCCAAAAGACCAAGATGTCTTGGAACAGGAGGGCCTTGGGACTGGAAGGATGGAGGAAAGGACACAGGCTCCCAAACCAAAACAAACTCATCGCTACAGTGTCAATTCTGACTCACAGCAACTGTACAGGTCAGGGTAGAACTGTCCCACAGGGTTTCCAAGGCTGTAATCTTTATGGAAGCAGACTGCCGCCTCTTTCTGCTACAAAGAGCTGCTGGTGGGTTTGAACCACTGACCTTTCTGTTAATAACCAGGATTAACCACTGTGCTACCAGGGCTTCTTCAAAGGAGCACAGATACAGATTACTTGGTTGGGGAACAGGACAAGAAAGAAAGTAAAGCTGAACTGAAGCAGACAGGAGTTAGCTGGACATAAGGAAGAACTTCCTAGACATGCAATCCCATCATGAATTTTAAGGCAGTTCCTTTCTCAGCAGTTTTGTTTTCCCTATGTCCCTCTGGATAAAATACAGCAAGTAAATTGTTTAGTGGAGCAAGGGGTAAATGTGGCTCCTAAAAGGCTCTTTGGCCCTGCTTGGGGGATTCCTTAAGGAGGCCTTAAACAGTCACCAAGAAAAGATGTTGTGTGCTTTGTAAAGATAAGACCTGGGGTGGGTGAGTACCAGATGGGGAGGTGGTGAGAAAGGGTGAGCTTGAGTGGCCTGGGGACCTCAGAAAGGACAGGAAAGGATGGTTCCATCCTGATAGGCTCCTAGACTCAGGCCTGGGTGGCCAATCAGTGCACTGTCCCTCACATCACAGTGATGGGTTCAGGGAGGGGAAGGGACCCACTGCAAACAAAAAAGAGGCAAGTGGTCTGCAGGGAAAGGAGCTCTGGTGGTGTAGTAGATAAGGTATTTGGCTGCTAACCAGAAGGTCAGCAGTTCAAACCCACCAGCTGCCTGTGGAAAGAAGATAGGGCAAACAATTTCCATAAAGATCTACCCAAAACCCACTGCTGTCAAGTCAGATCCAACTCATAGTGATCCCTCCTTGGGTTTCTGAGGTAGTATCACTATGGAAGTAGATTGCCCAACCTTCCAACAGCCTCGGACACCCAATGGGGGTCACTATGAGTCAGAATCATCTCAACGGCAGTGAGTTTGGTTTGGTTTTCGGTCTGCAGGCAAGGAGGAGACACACCTACAGCTGCTAAGGGACTTCTCCTTTATGCAAGGCAAAGCTTTCCTTTTTTTTTTTTTTTTTTACCTCATATGACGTTTCTTTCTGGTGCCAACCAGCGCACTCTCATCTGCTCCTCACCACAGCTCAAGTAGGTGGGACTGACCCTCTTTTCCAGATGAGTAAACTGAGGCTCAGAAAGGCAAAGGGCCCAGAGTTGGAGCATGGGTGGAATTCAAACATATCTGAGCCTGTCCTAGCTTACCCATTCAGTGTGGGCGGGTCACTCCTGGCCCAGGTGAACGTGGCATTCTTCATGGTGATGCTGTTTGTCCCCCCACCTGGAAAGCACCAGAGACAACATGTCAGGGGTGGATGAAGTCACAGCACACGTGGGAGCAGAACGTTTCTACTCTTCTTTTTCCTAATCAAGGTGTTCAACGCTCGACACTAGGCACAGTCTGGTTACATCAGCCAGTTTCTGAAAGGAGAGCCCCACACAGCAGTCTTGGAGGTGGTGGCAAACCCAGAAAGCAGACAGAAACCGCAAGAGGGTTGTGCCTTGAATGAGAGGAGTTTGCATCATTGGACAAGCAACTCAGGAGGCAGCTGGGGGTTGGGGGTGGGGTGCTCAAGGGTGATTCGATGCTGGGGGCAGCTCTGGCTGGGAGGGTTGAGCAAATGCCAAAGTCAATGGGAGACCAGCAGAGCTCTCAGGCAAACACAGCCTCCTTCCTTTACATTCAAAGCAGGGCCTTTAGCCCCTCCATGCCTGGATTAGGGCAGCCCCCTAGCATCTCCCTCCCTCTACTCACCACCATGCACACATCACAGCATAGGAGGGCAATCTTTCTAAAAGACTAGTCACAGTAAGCTAAAAAAAAGTAAGTTACAGAACAGGAAGTGTGGTTTTTAGGCAAGGAGAAAGAAGGGTTGTGTTTTAGACAATACATTTGTGTAACATGGTTCTGTGTGATTCTAAGCCTCCCAACAACTCTTTGTTTACTTTTCTCTCCTTAGTTTCCTTTTACATCATCTCTCTCTCTCTCAAAGTCTTTTAACTATGAGTCTCCTCAAAACCACTGGGACATAAGAAGGGGTATATTTTTAAATTGTCAAATAAAAAATACATTCCCCACACATTAAAGAGACAAAAGCCTGGGGTGAGAGGAAGTTATTGGTTAACCTAACCTTCCTCCCTAACCTCCCCTGAAACAGAGTATTGACAAGGAAACTGGAATTTAAGAAAAGCTGCTGGGGTCAGCCAAGCTTCATAGTACAGGGAGACTTGGCCGCAAGGCTGCTTGAGGAAGCGTGGACAAACACTTCAGAACGGTGGGGAGCCTGGGAGATCCACCAGGGCAGGAAGGAGGGGTGAGGCCCAGATAGCACCAGGAAACTTGAGGGGTTTTCCAACACTTGTAATGAGCCGTGAACAGCTTCAGGAGCAACTTGAAACCTCCACCAGCCACCTCAATTTTCAGCTCGTTGTTGTGCAGAGCAACTGGACACCAGAGTAGATGGCATCGTTCCCTTATCATATGAGGGGATTCACTTAGGACTGCAGACGTGGGATGGCCACAGGCCAGTAGTATGGGGAGGAAGATTCCAGCATCTACTAGGGAAGTAGTTCTCAACTAGAGGTGACTTTTGTCCCCCAGGGGACATTGGCAGTGTCTTCGAATTAAGAGCTTGACTATTAGCCCAAAGGCTGGCAGTTCTAACCCACCCAGAGGTGGCTCGGAAGATGTGCCTGGCAATCTCTTCCCAAAAGGTCACAGTTGTACTCGGCACACAGGGGGCCGCCACAAGTCGAAACGGACTCAATGGCAGCTAACAACTAAGAGACATTTTTGTTGTCACACTCTGAGGGGGGACTGTGCTACTTGGCATCTAATCTCTAGAGAGGAGATGCTGCTGAATACCCTATAATATATACACAGGAGGGTCCCCACAGCAAAGAGTGACCCTCCCCCAAATGTCATAGGGCTGAGGCTGAAACCCTGCTGTCCACTGAGACAAGATGCTGCAGACATGCACTGGAGAAGTCACAACACCACAATCACTTGTTTAGCGTCTTCTGCGCTAGGCACTGTGCTAGGTATTTTAGGTACCACTGAAGACATATGGCAAAGCCTACCAGGGACTAGGCACTGCTCACATACTATAACCAATCTACACATACATTCTTTCCTCTGACAATACTGAATGAGCTCTGCAGCCAGACTGCGTGGGTTTGAATTCCTGTGCTGCCACTTACTAGCTGAGGGGCATGGGTGAGTTACTAAACTTCTCTGCCCCTCATTTTCTTCTCTGTAAAACAGGGTGGCTGGTAAAGAATTTGGCCTCCTTGGGCTCTGGGGAAGTAAATGTGACAAACACAAGGGGTACTTGGGACTCCCTTTACCAAGAGGATCTTTCTTAGGAGCGTGCCATCATCAATTATTCTGAACATCAACTACTTGTGACATTAGATTTTTAAAGGGTTTTAATAAACTATGACATTATCATTTTTCTAAGCATTTTAAAAAGGGCAAGAAAATTATGTTCATATAGTAATCTATTAAAAAAATAAGCCATGAAAAGTTGATGGTATTCATTAGGTTTTAAATGAATAGATCAGTTCCTTATACTAAAAATTGTGAAGTAAGGAAATAAAACACTAACTTAGAGTGTGTTCTGTTTAAATGCTTACGTATTTTTAAATTGCTAAGAAAAATAAACAACTTTGTACATGTGAAGATTTTTTTTTAAACATCTTCAAGTCTTCAGCATGTTAACGTGTGAGCATGTTGTTAGTGGTCGCTGAGTCAGTCAGGACGGAAGGGAACACCCCGCCCCTGCACCGCCCTCACAGCTGTTGCTGCGTTTGAGTCCACTGCCGCAGCCACTGTACCAATCCGTCTCACCTAAGATCTTTTCTTTTCTCCGACCCTTCGGTTTACCAAGCACGATATCCTTCTCCAGGGACTGATCCCTCCTGGTAACATGTCCAAAGTCTATGAGATGACGCAAGTCTCACCAGCCTCACTTCTAAGGAACATTCTGGGTGGTATTCTTCCAGGCAGATTTGGTCATTCTTCTGGAAGTCCATGGTGTATTCAATACTCTAGCCATCACCCTCTGCAGTCTTCCTTATTCATTATCCAAGTTTCACATGCATGTGAGGCAAACACCATGGCTTGGGTCAGGCACACCTTAGTCTTTAAGGTGGTATCTCTGCTTTTTACCACTTTAAAGAAGTCTTTTGCAGCAGAAATGCCCAATGTGAGACATCATTTGATTTCCTGACTGCTGCTTCTGTGGGCATTCACTATGGGTAAAAGTAAAGTGAAATCCTGACAACCTCAATCTTTTCTGTTTATCTTATCTTTGTTATCACCTGTGCTTACTGGTCCAATTTTGAGGACTTTCATTTTATGTTGAGGAGTAACCCATACTTAAGGCTGTACTCTGATTTTTATCAGTAAGTGCTTTAAGGCTTCTTTGCTTTTCAGTGAGCAAATATGTCATCTGTATATCACAAGCTGTTAATGAGTCTTTATCCAGCTTCTCAGATGATATACTCAGCATACAGATTGAATAAATATGATGAAAGAATACAACCCTGATGCATGCCTTTCCTGATTTTAAACCATGCAGCACCCCTGGTTCTGTTTAAAGGACTGCCTCTGGGTCTATGTACAGGTTCTGCATGGAGTAATAAAGAGTTCTGGAATTCCCATTCTTGGAAATGTTATCTGTAATTTGCTATGATCGACACGGTCTAATGCCTTTGCATAGTAAGTAAGACACAGGTAAATATCTTTTGGGTAGTTCTGCTTTCAGCCAAAATCCACATGACATCAGCAACGACATCCCTTGTTCTACATTCTCTTCTGAAACTGGTCTGAATTTCTGGCAGTTCCCTGTCAATGTACTGCTACAACCATGTTTGTATTATCTTCAGTAAAATTTTACTTGCATGTGGTATTAATGGTATCTTTCGATAATTTCCACATTTCACTGGATCACCTTTCTTTGGAACGGGCACAAATATAGACCTCTTTTAGTAGCTGGCCAGGTAGCTGTCTTCCAAATTTCTTGGAATAGACAAGTAAGCACCTCCAGTGCTGCATGTGGTTGCTGAAACATCTCAATTGATATTCCATATATTCCTGGACCCTTGTTTATATGTATATATATATAAACTATAATATATACATAATATATATATAGTATATATATTATATATA